TTGTCGCACTCAGGCCTGCAATGCTCGGACTTCTTTGTCAAAGTCTCATGGTCAATTATCTTGGGCAGACTCCATCACTGCCAAATCCACGTTCAAGTAGTTACCAATGCGCACTCAAATCAAGCCAAGCCCAAATCCATGCACTCACTTAGCTTGCCTCCCCTTGAAAAGACATGGAATCCAATATACGCTCGCTTTGACAGGACTGTGGTCTTTGCAGAGCCGTTTTTTGGGGGGTTCCATGTTTGTTTGGGGAAGCCAGCCCGATATCACCCTTGCATGTCCATATTGAACCCCCCATACACTCCCTGAAGCAGCCCCAACACATCCCATCACGCCAGGGGACGAACGTCTTCCTCGAACGGTAAGAATTGAAGCACCATGTGAGAAGCTGCAGCCACACCTGCAAACCCTGTGACTTGCCTACGGGTACACATATTCACATTATATGTTTACATTTATCTGCTTACATTCATAATGGAAGGGGACATGGAAACTACCATGCAATTTAAGGTTTTTGAGCCGTGTTTACTGGACACGGGCTTTGGAAGCCTGTGGCGCAACTCCTGCAGAGACAGAGCTTGTTTTACAACCTTTTTAGCTTCCATGTTTGCTTCCTGATGAGGCTGGGATTGCGCAGGGTTTTAACGAGCCTGCAAAGCTTTGTTTGTCCTGAATGGACACTTGCCCCAGATTAGTGATTTAGACCCTTGGTTAGTTTTCATGTTTGAATTTTTTATGATGCTTCATCTGGGGCTCGAGTCCCCGCTGTGGTTTAGGCTAGCGCTTAAGCCCGAAAGGGCGCACATGCATGGGTCTCAGCGGGTCGAAGAAAAGTGCGAAGATTTAGCGAAGATCTAGGCTTCACCTGTAACACCAATTATCTACAGTTTTGTGCTTATATGTGTTTTCCAGAAAGGGATATTTACCTCAATCATGGAGAAACACATGGAAAAGAGAATGGAACATGAAATGGAAACTAGGGTCACGTAGTGGAACCAACTAGAGTCTTATGGGTTCCACGTAGCAAACTACTACTGGGGTTATAGCCAGGTGGCTCCAAGCTGTAAGGCAGTTATCCAACATGGAGCTCTTTGGAATTGGAGAGAACTCAGAGCATGCGCGAATAACAGCTGGCATTAGGGCACCTCAAGATTTGTTCTTGGGCCTCGCTGTTTCGCACAAGCTACCAGAAGAGGTGTTAGCGTCTTTTGACACCGACAGTGCTGGTCCAAATTCGTTTCAGGCACTGCGCCTCTAGGAGGGCGCGAGGTGAACCCGTGAATATCAAGCTCCCTTACTGTAGGGGCCAAAATGATTACCAGTATCGTTTTGAAGTCTTTTTGAGGTACCCCACTGTAATTACACAAGGAATATAGATTGGTGCATAGCAGGATTGTCCATTAGTCCGCTGACATATGTCACACGCCGTGTGCTTCAGGGAATTGTAAGCTCACTTAGCCTCCAGGGGTTTGCTACCTAGTTCATTTCCTACTAAGTTGAAAATGGTGCGCCCGGTTTTGACTGAAGGACACTCTTCTGCATGAATGGTTTCCACAATCTTCTTTCACAAGCCGCCCTGCCTTCTTTTGCTCTACGGCCAATAGGAAGCCTTACTCTTGTCAACTTCAAGTATGGTGATGTTGCCGCAACAATATCCGACCGAGAAACCTAGGCTCTAAGATCCGCAACAACCAGTGAAGCTGTACATGACAGGTTCACGAAATTGAGAAAGTCCAGGCCTAAACGCTAGGAGGACCGCCCCCCCTGTAATAGTGGAACAAATTGGAATACAACGGGACCCTCATACAATCCGTATTATCCCTTATAGTCACTATTACGGAGCGGGGGGGTCCTCTGAGATACGCCTGCAACAAACTAGCACACCAGATCCCAGGGTCAGGGCCGCAAGGATTGTTCAGGGCTGGATATGGATGATGTGGTGGGTAGATGTGGTAGTTTCCATGAATAGGGGGGGACCTCGACATCTTATAACCCTTGATACTTTGCACGCCCAAAATGTTTTTCTGATTTCGCAGTGCACCACATAATACGGAGCAGAGGTGGCTGGCGCATACCTTAACCCTATTAAACTCCGCACCCTAAACCCTAAACCCTAGACCCGGCCATCACTTGAGCCTACCTGACTATGAGGCACTGTCTACCCTAAACCCTAGACCCTAAATCATCCTAAACCCTAACCGCGGCTCAGGGTTTACGATTAAGCGTTCCAACCCGCCAGTTAGGCATGGAACTTCAACTTTGAAAGCGTCAACTTGACACAAAGGTGGGCACATTACGTCACATAACGTGTAAAGGAACGCGCGTATTACCCAAGTGCTCGGTTGCCTTACCTATCTCAAAACACGGAATCTGTAAATCAACCTGGGATGCAGACGTACAAAACTTAAAGCAGAGAAGGGATAAGACAATGAAACCTGTCTTTTTTCTGAGGATTTGATTTGTAAAAAACTGTCATGTAGAATGGTAACGGCAATGGAAACAATCGTATTCCTGTGGGGTGTTGGGGGTTGTAGAAACAGAAACAGACTAGTGTACAGGGATCTATTTCCTGATTCCTTAATTAAAACCCGACATATCAAGCCTAACAAGCCGATTCAATGGGGAATGCTGAACTCAACACGACGCTTGTTGGCCTTTCTTTGGGATCAGGGCCACCATGTGCGGTTGCGAGTCCTTCCTCCGGGATAGCTCAGAGTTTGGGGGTTGGGGCTAAAGCGACGGCGAAAAGTAATGTACAAGCCTGAAGGAAATCTAGCACCAACGCAGTATAAACGAATGAAAACTGGGTTTGCTTAGGCTCTACGGTATTTACTGTAGAAGCCGGAATAACTACCACTGATGTTCCAGTATCCTTGTATTCTGTAACATAAGAACATATCTCCGAAACTCTATTCTACGTCTGCTTGATTTAAAGCCCACATTGGACAGTGCCACATCAAACGCGCGGATACTGCTGATGTAATTTTGCTCAGGCATGTGGGTGGGAACCTGGTATAGTGCAGGATTTCCTTCATCAACAGTATGCCAGGACTACACAGCGGTACTAAGGATCTACCCTAGTAAACCCAACTCCTGTCTTGCAATGACCGTCCGTGAGGGGTCGCCGAGGAAGAGTTCTTGTAAGACGAAACACATGGCTATAAAAACCCTGTATACCCCTATAGTAATCCTATCTAGGTCTATAGCAACTGTTGGAAACCTTTAAAAAAACGTATAACAACCCTATTATAACCTGGGTCCTCCAACCTGGTCAGCGTTATAAGTGCCCCTTGGGTAGATGGGGTATATGGAGATCTTATTATGATACTTAAAGGGGACTATAGGGCCCTCAAGCTTCAATCCCAAGGGCGCCTTGATAGAACCTTTGTAAGCTAGGTTCCCCAGTAACCCCTTAATAAGGGTACATTTTGTTTTTCTCCTAAGGTGACGCTTTATAAAGGTGACCCCAACATCCAAAGGGAAAGGATACTACGGGTACCTAGTTAGTATATAGGATCCTAATGCACAATAGACAAAATGTCTGAAGATGTCACATGCGAACGTAAGAATGAACAGGACCTTTGCAAATCACGGCATGTAGATACCGAAATCCTGCATGACCCCAAATACCTTATACCTTGGGAAGCATGGACGTTTAGTATACAAAGGCCATGCAAGCTTTGAAGTATCAACCTAAACCCCAAACCCTAAACCCTAAACCCTAAACCCCCAATAATAGAACATCAAATGGAGTAGGGACTTAGCCGCCTGCGGAGAGATCCTATACCCAAAGCCCAGCCAAAGCCGTCTCAACACTCCAAACTGGGGCGTTTGCTGTATTTCGGATGGAGGGTTTAGCACATTTAGGGTATTAATGGGGGGCAAAGACTGCAAAGTGTGAGACGCTTGTCCAAGCACGATGTCTTTCAAACAAAAACTCTCATATGGGAAATACTCAGAAAGGGGGGGGCACCCTGGGGACCTGTAGGGACTACATCCCTAAACCACAAATCTTTTTTTTTGACTGGAAAACCCTATTAATCGAGTATCCTTCTGGGAAAGTGGCACATGAAGTGTTGCAGCAGACGTTTCTGCAGCTTCAAGTTTTCCTTCTGCTGAGGTACACTCCCGGAAACTGACATGGAAACCCAAAAAGGGCCCTACAAAGACTACAGTCCTTCTAAAAGAGGACTATATGGGTTTCCCGTGTCAGTTTGGGGGAGTGTAGGGCTTTTCAGGATTTGACGGAGCATAGTGCTTAGAGTGTAAGGTCTGGAAGAACTTACGAGTTAGGCTCTGTGGGTTACTTGGAAGGGGGGACTAAGTATACATGTGACCGCTAGAAGCAAATTGTAACCCCAGATAACCCCCTGCATCCCATTATTAACCTCGTTGCTAAGTCCCCTTACCCTTAAGCCTAAACCCTATACTTGCTAAGTCTGCCTGACCCTCCAAGTAGGTTCCATCACCTTCGTTTGCCGCAAATTTCGTGTTCTGAGGGGAAAGCGGTACAAGTTGCTTCAGTGTTTTTAGAGGGGGTTGGGGGGAGTGGGGAGGCTTGGGGGGGAATGATTTCGTTCTCTTGACAAGTACTCGTTCTTTTGACAATTAAAGGGCTTAGGGGGCGTGATTTCGTTCTCTTGACACCTTGCGGTACAAGCTGCTTCAGTGTTTA